AAAAAAAAAAAAAAAAAAAAAAAAAAAAAAAAAAAAAAAAAAAAAAAAAAAAAAGACTTTTAGCTTTCTTAAATGCATGTAAGGATAAATACCTCATCAAAAACCACAGAGTTTTGTAAGTCTATGGAAAATGCTTGCTGGTCTTCAAAATTTCTGAATTTAATGTTTCTTTCTCAGCATGAAGTGTAACCAGTGAAACATACATAAACAGAATATCATACAATGCTACAGATTCCTGGATTCCTAGATATGGAGAAGAACTGTGGAGATTTGCTTGCTTGCAACCCATGAATTAATACTATGACAAATGTGTGTACCCAGAAAACAAACACCTGGCAAAAAAAGCCTAATAGTTGTTGGCCAAGGCAACTGTTAGTCTAAATGCAACAACTATCTGGTTAAACATTTAAAGCTTCATTTATTACATATTAAACACATTACTTATAAACATATTATTAGCCTATTACATATAAAATATGTAATTAGCTTCATTCTAAGAATGTTCAATGAAATCTTTGAATTTCTTTGAGAAATTTCACATGATAGGAATTTCAGTTTGTGTAAGATTCTTGATGCCATAGGCTAGTTAAAAGACTTTGATTTTGTCTTTCTCCTAGTTGTTTCTAACAAAATAAAGAATCAATCTCATATGATGTTTGGCACTTTGTAATGCAAAAGGCCATGCATGAAAACTTCTTATAAGGTATCAAGAATGATATGAAGTTTTGGGACAAAATGAGAGCAGATGATGAGCTGAGGTAAGTAGTAATGACTCCAGAGTTTAGCTGATAAAAAAAAAAAAAAAAGTGCCAGTCAAATTTGGGTTTGAAGTTTTGCTTTCAAAATTATTTTTTTACTTCACTCATCTAATAGGGGAACAGACTGATGCTTTGAAATTAAATTAGGCAAGCTGTTAATGAAGACTAATTGCTTTGCATAATTTGAAATATGTAGAGGGTTCCGTTGATCTGTGCAAGCTATACTTGGGTTAGCATCAGGGCTGAAGAAAGACTTCTCCAAACCATTTTCCATCCTCCTTATCCATCCTTCCAAATTGAGAGCCATAATGCCCCTCAGAAAGTTATAGCAACCCAGGAATATGTGTCATTGCTCTTTCACTTAGCTCTGTTATATATCTTAGCTGCACTTTCATATTCTGCTCACAAAGGAACAAACTGTCCTCTCCACTCAGTGCAACATTCTCATTTCAGTGACAGATCCCCTTCTCACGCCTTGCTCGAGAAAATCTTGTTACACCATGAGAGCCAAGAGTCAGAGTTTTCCCTGTGAGTTTTATGCTTCAAGAGGTGTATTTATGGAATAGGACTAGAGGCTGCAGGCAGAGGCATGAGGGGAAAGCTCATGTTGCCCATCATGGGCTACATTAGGCAGCTTCTCAAAGGAGTCGATCCCTGGAAGCAAGAGCAAACTTCAGTCAGGGTGGCCAAGGCCTTGTCTTCCCTCATCCTGGTGGCCCATTCCCATGTTCTCCCCTCCAGTGATATGGGCAGACATCAAGACTTTCCAGGAAGCTTGTTCAAAACAGAAAACTAATCAGATTTTTTTTCCCCTGGGTTGATTTTTGGCTGAACTAACTCACCACCTACCAGACATGAGGGAGAAAGAACAGGAATGTACAGCTGGAGGTGGAGGTGGGACTTGCCACACCACAGACTTAGATCAGCTTAAAATCCTGTTGAACTGCACTCCTGAGGGTCATTTGCAGCCTAGTTTCTCTATATAAAAGTAAAAGAGTCACCAGAGAGCAGTAGGCTTTGCGTGAGGTGAGTTGGAGCACCTAGGTTAACTGCCTGCAGTCGGCAGTGTGACCTCCCATGTAGAAACATGCTGTTATGCACTAATGATGCTCTGGACACACTTGGGTGACTGGTGGGTTGGAGCTTTCCCCCAGTGTTTATTGATTTAGCAAACATAAGGAAAGGAGTTCCAAATCTGGCAGTTATTAGTGAGCCCATGCTCTAGCCTGCTTGCAAACACTTAACATTCTGAAACATTTTTAGTAGAGCCCATTTCAACGCAGTTTGATTTCACTCAGTTATTCTCTTTGCAGGTGGTTACCTCACTAGTAACATCTCATCCTCCTCTTCCATTCAGTTTTCTTACTAGCAGCAACACTTCTGTGTTAAAATACAACTGAGGCCAGCAACTCTGGGAACACTCACATGTCTCAATTTTAATCATGTAAATTCATGTGTCCGAGTGAGAAAAGTAACCTCTTCCCAGTCTGCTGATGTACTTGCTGGAAAAATGAACTCTTCCAGCAGCAGATGAGTTGTGCTTCCTATCCAAATTACTGAGGAAGACTCAGTTGCTCTCTAGTGATCACATAGAGATACTACGGAAACTAAATTCTAGAACAGGCATACAAATTAAGCATTTGGACAAAAATAGCATTGCTTTTCTTTATCTGCAGTGTGAACTGTGCACACATATAGCCAGGTGGGATAAACTTCTGTATTGTTCACTTTGAGGTCATCCCATCACTAAAGCATACATCTCATACAATGTAGATAGGTAAAAGATTGAGAAATAGCTGGATCCCTTTCTGGCCACAAATCAACACCACTACTCAGTTTGAGTGGAGTTGTTCTTGGTTTACACTGAGGTAAGTGAGAGGAAAATCAGACAGTGCAAGCATTTGGAGAAACTTTTGCTGAAGTACAGAAGTTTTGTAGATGAACTCAGTTTCTGAAAATGCGAGTTACGGCACTATTTTGTCTACTATAATTACAGCCACAGAAAAGTACTCACGTACTTATTTCTGGAGAACAGTGACATCTAGTGAGCATCCTGACCAGTACTAAGCATTCCCTGGGGTCCTCTTTTAAGACTGAGCTTAGTATCTGGGTTTAGTTCGCTTTTCTGCTGTTTGTATATTGCAGTTCCTCAAATCTCAACTGCATGTGCTCCTATTCTCTGACAAGGTCTAATAGCTGTTGAGCAAAGTTGCTGTGACCCAGGATGGTAAGGGAGTGAGGCAACTTCAAAGTGTAAACTAAAGTAAAGCACAGTAAGTAAAATCATGCCATCAGTATCCACAATTAGTCACTTCATTAGCACTTGATCTTTAAAAGCTGGAGAGGTAATCTTCCAGCTGTGTCATAAATAACCATTATATACAGTTCTATCTGCCAGGCTGTAGACATGTGTTTTATTATATAATATATATATTATATTACTATTATTATTATGAAAGGTACTGGACCCGATTCAGTGGTGGGTTTTTTTTAAGTAGTTTAAGCATAAGGAAATAGTTTTTCTACATCTATACCAGTTTAAAAGGCAGAATCCTCTTACACCTAGATTATCAAGAGACTACTTTTCTCTGTCAGCACCTGAAGTAACACAGCAATAATGACAGAAAAGTCTGAACTGCTTGAAATCCAAAGGTGATTAAATTTTTATATTATACACTATGTAGATCCTAAAACTATAGGATGAGAAAATTATTGCACGAGTGCCTTAGCGTAAAGTACTTGAATGGATGAAATCCCTGCTGTAATGTGAGTTTTGATTGTTTCCTATATCATGGCATTTACATGGGTTTTTTTCTTTCTTTTTTTTCCTTTTCCTCACTGCAAATGCTGAAAGTGCGCATGCGTCTGAGGAAAAGTTGTGCAAATATCTCAGATGTCAGCAGATACTCAAGGCTACTCCACTGCATCAAGGCTCTCATTATTTTATCTCAGGCAAAAGTGTAGTATGCGGTATGCAGATGTTGTACCTTCAGGAGTGGGCACAACAGGACCAAAGTTTTCTGACAAATGTAATCTTGATGTTTCTCAATTTTTCTGTCTGTCTTTTCTACTGTAACTTTTATGTAACACCGTTAAAGTCAAACATGTCTCTAGAATCTTTCCTAATCTCTACCAGGTAGATAGACTGAATTTTGCAGAGGGCAGCTGTTGAACCCAGGTACAGGCTTACCTTCTTAGAAGAGCACTGCTGATTGTCCTAACCCTGCTACCACCACTGTCTCTCAAATATTGTTTGACCTCTCTTGACTTTCCTGCAGAGATCTACTGAAGAGTTGAATGTAATGAGGGAAAGAGCTACAGCAAATGAGAAACATGATTATGTGGCAGCTGGGTTACTGGGAGAAGCCACAGCGATGTGATAAAAACAGCTTGTGTGATGAGGAGAAAAACTGATTTCCCCCTTTACACCACATCAAATGGGTGTTTTAAGAATAAAGCTACAACAGTTAAGAAATGATGTCAATAAGAAGAATTGTTGTTTCCTTCCTCTCTCCTAAGACATGTATTTTAGTTTCTCAGAGAGTACATAAAGCAATGAATTTCTAACGCTAATGTTAAGTATCCAAGAAAGGGTTTCAAAGTCAGTTGAGAGGTCTGAGCCTCTCTGGCCTAGGAATGTATCAAAATCAGATAAAACCAGAACAGCAAGGCTGTACTTTGCCATTCTCAGCTAGTTTAAAAGTATGTAGAACTTAGTAATGGACTATAAACAATGAGGTATTTGGCTTGGCTGTGTTAGTGTAAACATGATGTTTCAATTGAAACCTTCTATATCAGATTATTTTTCTCTTCAGTTTGCATTCTATAAATAACTTGGAATAGAATAGATTCCCAGGAGTCATCAACAAGTTGAAATCGTTACACTGACAACATCCTCTCTGACCTGAGCCACTTTGAGTATTATGGGCTATTTTCCTTCTCAGAGAACCAGCTGCTGGAGGATGAGTGATGCATTTTGCCTGTGGCTTAATAGCTATTTTCTGGTAGTAAAGTGTAGTGAAAAGCAACAATATCGATTCAGAAATGGTTATTAGTAAAATTACAATCTTGTAAATTTACTTGTAACCCTATCTTGTTAGGGTTTCTCTCAATTTGAAAAAAAAGTATCTGTGATTATTTTTATACCAATGATGATTGAGTAATACAGAAACATGTATTTTTGAGTTAGGTTTGGGGTTGGATTGGGTTTATTTTAAACTGAGAAATGCTGTGTATAAATACAAAAATTCTATGCTTTTTCTTAGCTGAGGATCATTTTCAAGTGTTAGAAGATAAAATACATTATCCACAAAACAATGAACATTTTTTTAAAGACCCAAAACACAAATTTACAGTTCTTCAACTTTTCCCTTTATGCTGCAAGGTAGAAAGTGTATAAAATGCTTTGTGCTTTGTGTACAGTATTTTGTCATGAATATTTAATTATGTTTTGGAAGCAGTTGATGTACCAGTGTACAAGCAGCTCTAATGTGAAAACACAACTGAGAAAAGATTAAACCACGAATGCATGCCACTGGAAAGAGCAAGATCTGTCTCAGAAGATTCCTCTTAGATAATGGCATGATCTTTATTTGAAGAAAATAAACCATACATCACAGTTGAGTGTTAGAAAAACTCTAGACTTTAAAAGAAGAAAAGACTAACTCCTTTAGAAACAAAAGAAGAAAAGAGTGATGTATTAGTAGAAAAGGTGGACACAGCTTTGTTCTACTGTCACAGGATGGAAATATGACAAGAGTGCATTAGGGGGTGGACACAGATAGTGAGTCTGTATACAGTAAGAAGCCCGCACTTCTTGGTCGGATAAATATACAGGTTCACCCACTTCTGAAGTTATTAAAAAAATGAGTTTAAAAACAAGTAGCAGAAGAAAATGTTTCTTCCTATTCTCAAGTTTACTGTAATTTTAACAGCTGGTCCATGGTCTTCTACAAGTAAATAATAACTGGATACATGGAAGAGACTGGCAAAGCAAAGAAACTACAACACACCACTTGGGAATAGTGATTTTCTTTTCATGAATGTTTCTGTAATGTGATGACAAGACTGTGTTGCCAAAGACAAAATGGTAAAGCACTGCCAAGACATTTGACTGATATATCTACTTTAAAGATCCTACCAGAATATTGATTCACTATTTCAATTAAGATACTGTGGGGGAAATAGAACAGTAGAAAGACTTATTTTATAAGACAACTGATACACATTTATATGATTATTATTTTTGACAGCTCCCCAGATGATTTATTTTTATGAAATGACTTTCCAGATATTCAAAGACTTGAAATTTCTATCCATTGATCATCTATAATTCTACAGGTTAGGTTATAGGTGATGCATTATGTAGGTCTTATCAGTCCTCAGATGGAATAGATGATCCTTTTAATAAGCTACTTTCATTACCTATGATGCTACTTGGAAGAAGTAAATATTCTGGACTCCAAATGGGTAGACCACACTCAGTGATGTAGCCTTTCTTAAAGCTTTACACACACACACTCACACACATGCAAAGAAAGGATAAATCAGAAAAATAAAAATGGAATAGCCATTACTTTTGTTTGTGCTGCTTTTAATTTTTCTTTTCTTTTTTATTCACTTAAAAAGTCATGATTAATAAGTATAATTATTTTCTTTCTTCAATCACTGTGTCCCCTAGGAGTTGGTAGGGCAGTCCATGAAACTAGAAAAGCAGGACTGGACTCCATAAAATGACATTAAGAAAAACAATTGCTAAATGTTGGCCTCTATTAACTGCAGAGGGGAGCTCTGTTTATTTTTTTGTTTGGATGAAATTACTTGCTGCTCAGCAAATTGAAGCATGTTTTTTTCAACCCACATAGAATCTGGCATTCTTATCCAAGCTATAGTGCTTGCTTTGATTTCCAGAGACCTTCAAGTTTCTATTGCCACCTCCTTCTGTTTCCCTCAACACAGTTTGTCTCTCTACTTGTGTTTTTCTCCCCTCAACCACTGTACTGTTTATCCTTTTGCAGTCAAACTGCATCAACATATCACATTGCTAATACCTGCCTCTCCACTCGTATCTATCTTGATGTTTTCATTGGAGCTTCTCTCTTCCAGTGCTCCGGTGCTAGGAGCAGGTATAGAAAAAAGTTCTCTGCTTTCCATTCTGCTGCTTGTGTCTCCTTGCTGCTAAGAGCAGTTACAAAAGTCTGCTCACCTTTGCAGTAAAATACAGACATCCAGCTAACAACCAGAACTGCAGTATACACAGGGCAGATTGTACTTCGAGAGAATCTAGCCTCCAGCTGAAAACAACCAGCAGCCACCACTTCCAGAAACCCTCAAGTACATGTATTGTATATACATACAGCTTTGATGAAGATAGAACAATTTTTTGTGATAACAACAATAGCAATATCCTGCCATCAGAATGGCGTTTAGCTTTGATCAAAAGTTTGGCAGCACTAGAGATTATAATACCTTTCTAATGGCTACCTCTTGGCAAAAACAGTTTGTTTTAGACTTCTATCCCATACTGTCATTATGCTCAATATGAGCATGGGTTCATGGCCACCCTAGAGTTGTTTAACCACAGGGTAGAGAAAATGTCATTGGTAAGGTTGGGAACAACAACGTGATGTTTGTCGTCTGGTGGAGAGCTGCCTAAGAAAATAAAGTCTTGTTTCAGTGAGAAAACTAAGCTGTCTTAAACTAAGACAGGAGAGGTTTAGGTTAGATATTAGGAGGAAGTTCTTCACACAGAGGGTGGTGACACACTGGAACAGGTTGCCCGAGGAGGTTGTGGATGCCCCATCCCTGAGGCATCCAAGGCCAGGCTGGATGTGGTTTTGGGCAGCCTGGTCTGGAGGTTGGTGACCCTGCACATAGCAGGGGGGTTGAGACCAGATGATCATTGTGGTCCTTTTCAACCCAGGCCATTCTATGATTCTATGAAGTTACATGTGCTGCTGCTGCTGTTGCTTTTTTCCTCACTCTTTTCAGGCCAGTTCTTATAATTAGAGTGTTATTTCATGTTGGTTTAATTTCACATTTTGAGGGAGTGTGGCTGTTTAAAATTCAGCATGTACAGTATGAATGGCTGTGGGCAAAAGAGATAATTTGTCGGGATTTTTTCCAAGTCCACTATGGTTTTAAAAATTCCACCTCATGCTGCAACAGAAATTGAATATTGTAGTACATTAATGGTTCTGAATTAGAGTGTACAAGAGCTGTGCAAAATAGATGCACTGTAGCCTCCCTCTTTTTACTAGGGCCAGGGATCAATGTTTGAACCAAAGAACCAGGCACCAAGATTGTCTGTGTAAAACACTGAAACCAGAAATATTTTTCATGATGATTTATAATTGCAAGCAAATAGTCAACGTGTGCTTCTTGCCAGCAGCCATAAATTGGCCTTGGCAGTTTGGCAAATAAGACTTACTCCATTCACACCAATAATGTTAAGCCTTTGCTTACCAGATTTTACACAGAGATGCTAATTGTCCTTAAAAACTAATTGGAATTTTTGAATATATATCTCTACATAAGTAATATATATTAGTTTATATAATAAGTTTATATATTTGCATATATTTTTTTATTTTATATATATGTGTGTATATATATATGTAATAATGGTAAAGAGGTTATTATTAACTGATTTGATTTTGCTTGAACAAACAGGCACCACTCATTTTTATTTCAGACCTTGTAGTTCCTCCCTTTTGTTTTGTAACTGTTCCTGTAGCTGTTCAAATTTAAAAGACAGTAATTACTTTATTATTTTCTCACTTTCTACTTCCGTTTTTAGGTCTTGCTCCTCTCTAATTGTATATCTTCTTGATATGCAACTCATAAACATGTTCCTATCATTTTACAAATTACACCTTTGTCTTTTTCATCCTTAGTCGAAACTCTCACAGCATCCAGTTCTTTCTCTGGAGCATCCAGTTGTTTCTCTACAGCTTCCCATTTCTTCTCTACAGCTTTCCAGTCATGCCAAGGATCATGGCCCCATTTTCCTGAGAAGATGGGGTTCAGATTAATACTGTGCTTTTTTATAAGTAGTCAGTAACACTACTTGCCATCCTGCTGACTATGATAATTTGCTACAAATAAATGTTTACACTGGTTTTGATTTAACAGCAATTTGAGTTTATTTATACCTTTATGGTAAATCATAAGATTAGATTGTGTGGTATTTAGTAGCTCTTCATTATTAATCATCTTTAAAAAGTGATACAGTGGAGTTTCCTAGAATCGAAACCACAACTTAGTTACTAAGGTTTGAGAATGCCAAGGTTCACATGAGACTTACTTCAGTGTATAGAGATTTTTCTAAATTACTTTTTTGCCTTAAGGACTTTTCCCCTTCCAAATGAATTTCTCACTCTTTTCTTCCATCAGCATTTTGAAGAGTCTGCCCTACGAGGTTTTTCAGCTCAAGGGGGAGATTCTAGGGCACAGTTCACTGTGATCCTGGAGTTC